ACTAGTAGTATTATTACTATTATTACTATTATTGTTAATAATTTCCTCATTTTTATTTATAGCAAAATAAAACAGCTCTTTACTAGTTGGTCTTTTTGATGGATCTACATCCCAACATCTCTGGATCATTTGCATATAATTATCAGGCATTCCAAGTAATATTGGTGGCCATAAACCTTCACATATGGGACATGTCACAGCAAAAACCACCTCTGGGACTTTCTAACCAAAATTGATTTTTTTGCATAATAATAAACTATAACATAAGTATTATAATTGGTGAAAATATTAAACCCTATTTACATAATAAAAAAAAGAGAACTGGGTGACAAAGAATTTCTTTTTTATATGTTTAAATAGTGTGTAACGTAGTTGAATAAGGTGATACCGCAAAATGATCTACAAGTCTCAGAGGTGGTTTTTGCTGTGACATGTCCCATATATCAAAAATCAAATGATGATTATGAGCTCTATCATCAAATGGTGTGTGACCTGCAAATATTTCCCACATTAACATCCCAACACTATAGATATCTGATTCTTTTGTGTTCTTCATGTTATTGCCTCTAAGTAGCTCGGGTGCAATATATGGTACAATTCCATAGACTTTATTTGATAACTTTTCATCAACTGGTCCACATAATCCTAAATCTGTAATATAACAATTACCTCCTTCCACAAGTATATTACCACTATGTAAATCACAATGGATTAAATCCTTTCATGTATACAATATAATGAATTGCATAAAGATCTAAAGATTGTAATTCTATCTTTTAATGTCAAATTTAAATGATTTTTTGCAAGTAACCCCTTAAATTTCCTTCTGAAGCATAATTTCCACTGTAGAAAATTCAATCGGCGCGTATCACGTTACACCAAATTTCCATGTGCACGGAAATGTTTATTTATTTATTACACAAATTAAATTATATATCATTCAGAAATAAATTGTTACCAAAAAATTTATTTTACCAAATTAATAATTAACTAATTTCTTTCAAATATTCCAATCAGTGTTGAAATTTCGTTGTGTAACTAGTACAAATTTAGAAACTATCTCCAAAAATTAAAAAATTGATTGGTGTGTAATGTTACACACAGGCATGCGGGCATTGAATTTTCAACACTGATTCCAATGGTCATTGATTTGTCTGATGATGAAGAGCTTAAAAGATTACACATTATAAAAGCTGTTGATCCAAAGTTGGTTGGAAACTGAATCTGTTAATGGAAATATTTAGAATTTGTAGAAATTGCAATGAAACAACAGTATTTGCAAAAGGTACATCTTCAATAAGGGTAGGAAGAATTAAAGAACACATGAAAACCAATGAACATAAAAAATCTGAAGAATTACTTGAACCAGATACTTCAAGAATTAGTACAGAAAAATTAAAAATTAATTCTTTAATGAGAATTATTTACTGCTGTTCAAAAAATAATATTCCTTTAAACACCTATCCTGATTTGTGCAAATTAACATCTTTACAAATTGAAAATAATAATAATAAAAATTGTAATTAAAAAATAGATGTGCACATGTTCTGTGTAACGTGATACGTGGCGATTGAATTTTCAACACTGATAATTTCCATTGTCTGGGAATTTAGTTATACCATAGCAATTACAGTCAGTGTTCTTTCCAAATTTAGGTATAGAAATTTACGCCTCTTTGTCAATCAATTCATATATTTTTCATATGATACAAATGAGTTAACGTGACACTTTGTGCTTTTTGAAAAAAAAAGTTTTTTAAAAAAATTACTATTATAATTATTTAAATAAATACTACAATATTTCTCTTCCATAATCTGTTAAAAATCTATAAAAATCTATTGTTTTCATCAAAGTATACTTTTGTTTAAATTCAAGAAATTCTGTAACAGAAGTTCAAATGATTTGGTTTTTTACTCAATTTACTAACTTATTTATTTTATTTT